TGCCAATCCGAAGCCAGGAGCCAGGAGCTTCTTCCAGGTCTCTCACATGGGTGCAGAGGTCCAAGGACTTGGGCCATCTTCCCCTACTTTCCCAGGCCATAGCAGAGAGCTGGATCAGAAGTGAAGCATCTGGGTCTCAAACCGGCGCCCATATGGGATGCTGGCACTGCAGGCGGCAGCTTTACCTGCTACATCACAGCGCTGGCCCCTCTTATTCTATTTTATTAGTGGGGTGAGGAGGGTAAAGGTATCTGAGGATATAGAGCACACAGGACAGGGGAGCAAAGAGTGTGCAGCACTAGGATAAACTTCTGTTTTCAAATTTTTATTTTCATTTTATTTGAAAGGGAAGAAGAGAGGAGAGAGAAGGAGAGAGATCTCTCATCTCTTGTTTCATTCCTCAAATATCTGCAACAGCAAGGGCTGGACCAGGGTGAAGCCAGGAGCCAAGAATCCCCACATGGGTGTCAGGGACCCAGGTACTTGGGTCCTCATCTGCTGCCTCCCAGATGCATTAGCAGGGAGCTGAGTCAGAAGCATAAAGTAGCCGGGATTCAAACCAAGCATTCCAGTATGGGATGTGGGCATCCTAACTGGTGTCTTAACTATTTCATTAAACACCCACCTCTAGGATAAACTTTTGATCAGAAGTATACACAGATGATACAATGTCATTACAGGAGGATGCAACAGGTCTACTCTGCAGGGAGCACCTGGACAACCCTGCTCCTTCCCTACCTGGTGAGGATGGGGAGTTTCTTCCTCTTTCAGTGCCCTCACAGTGCTCCCAGTCACATCACCCTGTATTCCAACATCTGGGTTGTCACCCAAGCCAATCTGCCTAGCTCTGACTCGAACTTGCTTTGTTGCTTCGATCAAATCACTTCTCTGGGTCTGTTTCTCCAGGGATTGTACTAAATGAGAACCAAGGTGACTTCAAATTGATGGATAGTAGCCCTCCTCATCTCTATTACTCCAGGTGGTCACAGACATAGGCCTTCTGGGTTGGATTCAAGGCATTGCCAACAGGGACTATGGAAAGTCCTGGACCTCCCACTCTTTTCTTTTCTCTTCTTTTCTTTTTAAATATTTATTTACAGAGAGGGAGGGGCAGAGAAACAGAAAGCTCTTCCAACCACTAGTTCACTCCCCAAATGGCTACAATAGTCAAGGCTAGGCCAGACCAAAGCCAGGAGCCAGGAACTTCTCTGGGTTTCCCATGTGGATGGAAGGGGCCCAAGTATTTGGGTCATCTTCTGCTGCTTCTCAAGTGCATTAGCAGGAAGGGGGATCAGAAGTGGAGCAGCTGAGACTCAAACCCATACCCATATGGGATGCCAGGGCTGCAGGCAGTGCTTTTTAAAGATTTATTTATTTATTTGAAAGAGTTACACAGAGAGAAGAAGAGAGAGAGAAAGAGAGAGAGAGAGAGAGAGAGAGAGAGAAATCTTCCATCTGCTAGTTCACTCCATAAATGGCTACAACAGCCAGGGCTGGGCCAGGACAAAGCCAAGAGGAGCCAGGAGCTTCATCCAGGTCTCCCTCATGGGTGTAGGGGCCCAAACACTTGGGCTATCTCCCACTGCTTTCCCAAGCACATTATTAGGGAGCTGGATCTGAAGTAGAGCATCCTGGTCTTAAACTGGTGCCTTTATGGGATGCTGGCATCACTCACTATGCCACAATGCTGGTCCTGCAGAGAAGGAACTGTTTTCAGGGACTCCACCTGTCTCCTTCTTCCTGAAGTAGCGGCTCCTGCAGAGTATGGTCTGTGAAGTGCTTACTGTGGAACCTAGTGTAGGTGGCATGGGAGGTCCACATCAGGCCATGTGGAGGAAGGCCTGGCACATAAACGCAGGGCCAGTCTGGTTGTGGCTAGGCTGGATTTAGCTGTAGCTTCTTTATCAGGGACTTGGGCTTTAAGAGCTGACACTAAATGGTATATGTCCGGGAAAGTCACTTAAATCCAATCTCTTTTCTTCACCTGTAGGAATGAAGATAAGAACACCTATGCAAACAATTTATAAAATTGAAGATCAAATGAACAAAATCATTTAACAATGTTTTTTCTTTAAAAACTTAATTAACTTAAAAGGCAATGAGAGAGACACAGAGATTTTCTATCTGTTGGTTCACTGTCCAAATGCCTGCAGCAGCTGAGGTTAGGCCAGGCTGAAGCCAGGAGCTGGGAACTCAACCCAGGGGCCCAACTACTTGAACCATCACATGCTGCCTCCAGGGTTTGTATTAATAGGTAATTAGAATCAGGAGTGAAGCCAGGACTCAAACCCAGCTCTCCATATGGGATGGAGATAATATAATGTAAGATACAAGCCATAACATTCATATGTATTTCCTGGGCATCTCAGTAAACCACAAAATCTGACACTATGGCTTTAGAGTGAGGCTACAAATCTTTCATTTCTAACAAGGTCCAGGAGGAGACGGTTGATACTGTGGCTGCTCAGGTGGGCTGCATTTTGATGTGCAAGGATACAAGTCAATAACATTTTTGGAAGTAAGGAGATGAGGTTTTAGAGCTTGTAGAGAATTTCCCTACAGAGTCTAAGCAATGATGGGTAAGTTTGTAAGTACAGCATCTTTTTTTCATAAAAAATATTTTTTATTTATTTGAAAGGCAGAGTGATAGAGAATGAGGGAAAGGAAGAGAGAGAGAGAGAGAGAGAGAGAGAGAGAGAGAGAGAGAGGAGTGAGAGAGATCTTCCATACATTGGTTCACTTTCCAAATAGCTGCAATAGCAGGGCTGAAGCCAGGACTAGGAATTCAAACCTGATCCCCCACATAGGTGGCAGGGGCTCAGGTATTTGGACCATCATCTGCTGCCTTTCCAGGCTCATCAGTAGACAGTTGGATTGGAAGCAGAGCAGCTGGGACTTGAACCAGCATTCCAAAATGGGATGCTAGCATCACAAGTGGTGGCTTAACCTGCTGTGCCACAACACTGGTCCCCAGCATCTTTTTGAATGGATGTTGCAAGAGTCAACTTTATTTCAGAGAAACAAAACCCCACATATGGCTTAGACACACCCTTATCCACGTGCTAGTCATATATTCATCCAGCAGACATTAACTGATGGTCTACCCTGTGCTCAGCACTGTTCTAGGCCCCAAATAAAGTTGTGCTACTAACTTCTTCCTTGAAGGATCTCCAGTCCTGACTCAGCAGATGGAGACATGAGTTTCTTTTTAAATCTTTTTTTCCCTGGAAGTGTCCTGTTTTTCATAAACGACCTTGGCTTTTCATGCTATACCATTGTAGTAATTTGTATAGGTGGAAAACTGGAATGACCGGAAGTTGCTTTGCATTGTGGGAACAGCTGGGCTTCTTGGGATAACCCTGGAAAAGCACTTTCCCATATGAGCAGGGATCTACAAAGTCTGGGTTTCTCTGGAGGTTCAGCTGCATATCTTAAATGCCAACTTGAATCTGACATTTTGGCATCAACGTGAGAGTTTGACACCGAACTAGAGTAACCAGCTCCCCAACAAGACTTCTCACCAGAGGCTTCCTGCTGTGAAGTGGGCCTTGGTTTTCCTCACAATGCTTCGTAACTTTTCAGACCAGTGATTCCCCTTTAGAGCAGTCTCTTGCCCAGGAGAAGACAGCTCACCAACCTACCAATTGGACTCTGGTCCAATTTGGACTCAGACACTTTTAAAAATTTGCAGGTCTATTGGGGACAATTTTGGTTGGAGGCCACCTAACCTCTTCCAACCCCAGCTGCAGAGCAGGTAATCTAGGCATCTACTTCAAGGCCAGCTCTTTGTTCATTCTCCATTCATCTTGCGGTGAGCTGAGCCAGGTTAGTTATTGATTTACCACCCACTTAAAATAGGTGTGTAAGGGTCATAGTACTCTACTGGGGGGGGGGGTGGTACATCAGACATTAAACAAATAACCCCCATAAGGACCTAACTGGGACTGTGAGACAGGGAAGGCTTCTGCAATAAAAGACAGTAATCCTGAGATTGGAAAAAGTGGACATTAGTGGACAAGCCTCTGGGGGAGGAACTGCAGGCAGAGGAAGAAGGCTGTGCACAGACTCAGAGATGAAAAGTAAGGCAAGGACAGCTGCAGAAGGCAAATGTAGTGGTCAAGTGCATAGGGTGGGAAGAGTGGCATAAAATTAGTGAGGTGAGGGGCTGGTGCTGTGGCATGGTGTGTAAGGCTGCCGCCTGCAGTGCTGGCATCCCATATGGGCAGTGGTTCCAGGCCAGCTGCTTCACTTCTGATCCAGCTCTCTGCTAATGCGCCTGGGAAAACATCAAAAGATGGCCCAAGTCCCAAGTCTTTGGGACCCTGCACTCATGTGGGAAACCCAGAATAAGCTGCTGGCTCCTGGCTTCAGATTAGCCCAGCTCCAGCTGTTGTGGCCGTTTGGGGAGTGAACCAGCTGGTGGAAGAGCTCGCTTTCGCTTACTCCTTCCCTCCCTCCCTCTGCTTCTCTGTAATTCTGCCTTTCAAATAATAAATAAATAAATCTTTCTAAAAAATAATTAGTGAGGCAAGTTGGCCTAGAGAAGACCAGACAAGGCCCTGTAGCCCCTGGGAAAGAGTGGATTTCATCTTGCAGTGCAATGAGAAGTCACAGGAAGACTGTGAGCAGGGAAGCAGCATGATCTGTCTACAGCAATAAAGATCTCTGGTTAGATGTCTGACCTAGCAGTTAAGATGCTGGTTAAGATGCTTGCTGGGTCTGTTACCTATTCCAGCTCCCTGTTAGTGTGGACTCTGGGATGCAACAGGTGATGGCTCAAGCACTTGCGTTCCTGAAACCCATGTATGAGACCTGCCTTACATCCTATTCCTGGCCTCCTTCCCTCTGCTCCCTTGTCCTACTGTGAACAGCGGCTAGGAGTTTGCCCTCTCCCTGCCTCTCAAATATAAAATTTCTTAATCCTATGTGTAGAATGGATCTGATATACACTTAGGAAAACCCATATGCAGTCCAAGTCATTAAATACATACATTGCTTACCTGCATTGCACCTGGCAGCTTACTTTTCCAAGCTCTATGGCAAGGTGGGCACAGAGGCTGGGAATATCCTGGGCACATGCAAAGCATCTCCTTCACCTGCATCCCTCCTCAAATATCCTGCGTGGGAGGCAGGGCTTGTCTTGCAGATCTTAAAACTCAGCACAAAGTGTATACAATTGCAGAAGAGGAAGGCTGTGCGGAGGAAACAATAAATCAAGTTAAAAAAAAAAACTCAGCAACTTAAAGAACAAGCTTTCAGTCTCAAGTTGGTTCTCAGTGAAAGGAACACGTTTGGCTAGAAGTTCTCTCAGGCAACATGTCCTTAGGGCCCATTGATGTAGAAACATCTCTATTTTCAAAGTGGTGTTTAGTCACCTCCTTCCCTTTTGTAACTCAATTTCCTACTTTCCCTCCTCACAGATCCTGCATTCCTTGGTTATCTGATTAGCCTTTTTTTTTTTTTTAAGACAAGCAAAAACATCTTGAAAATTCTGGCCTTTTTAAAGTGCTTACTTGTCATTAGTTTTCCTTTCCAATTTACTTTATGAACTAAATCTCCCTGGAATGGTTTTTCTTTTGTCAGAATGAGCTTGATTCTCCTCTGTTAGCTCCCTGTGAGTGGGGGGGTGTGGTGGTTAGGGAAGGGGATCAGTGCAGGAATCAGTGCTAGCAAGGCCTGGATTTGTTGGAGTGAGTGGGAGTTGAAGGGTGAGGGACAAACTCTTCCCATATTCACACTGTAAACATAGTGGCAGATCAGTGGCACTTATGGAATGGACTTGATCTGCCAGTCTTGCCTGGAAATAGAATGATGCCCTGGAACCTATATGATCTAGTGGTCAGAATACCCAGGTTGAATTCTAATCACTGCCTAGTCAAGTAAGTCTGAACCACAAATAATGAACATAGGTGAGTGCTGCTAACTACCAGATAAGACACGGGCACGCTCCTTGCCACTCAGAGAGGTGGACATTGTTTTTTCCATTAAAAGCTCAGGACAAGAAGGTTCAAGAGTTAAATGACATACCCAAAGACTCATGGCTGGTGAGCTTCACTTTCCCATAGGCTGATAGAGGGGAGTAATGTGTATCATTCTGTGATAGCATGATAAAGCAATGCAATTTGTAACTTGTAAAACTTCATGAAGACATGTGGCATTATATAGCCCATGAGACCTTCAGTGAGCACTCATGCAGTCTATAGAACTGACCTTGAATCTCACCTGTTCCTAGTAAGTTGTTCCAGTAAACTCAAAACATGTGCTTGTGGCCCATTCCTCCCAATCTGTCATGCTTTGTCCCCATCCGCCTTCTCCTCATGGGCTTACATCTACACCCCCACCCAACATGCAGCTCCCTCTGTGTGGAAAGCTCACTCCTCCCACATATTTCCTCTACTGATGAGTTCACATTCTTTTTTATGGTCTCAGCACAAAAGCCACATCTTTAATGTGACACATTATCTACCACACAAGATACATGTCCCCCAGGATAGGGACCCATGAAGGAACAACAGTAGGGGCATGTAGCTCTGGAAGGTGATCAGCTTTGTTAGTTTGTTCCCTAGAGAATGGGTAAAATGTCCCATTAGCTATGTCCAGGATGCAATTCTTAGTGGACTCTTTCCCTACTATTGCATTTGATGGACACTGGAGTCCCTAGCATTCTCGTCTCCAGGAAAAGAATGCATGTTGATATTAATATTCAGCACTGCTAGATATCAAATATGCACTCTTATGAATCATGCTCCTTGCTCATAGAGTTCTGTTTTTCTTTTCTTTTGGATTTCTTATTTATTTTAAAGGCAGAGTTACAGAGAGGGAGACACACACACACACACACACACAACCGGAGAGAGAGAGAGAGAGAGAGAGAGAGAAAGAGAGAGAGAGATCGGTCTTCCATTCACTGGTTCAGTCCCCAAATGGCCAGAATAAATGTGGCTGGACCAGGTCAAAGCCCAGAGAAAGGAGCTCCATCTGGCTCTCCCACATGAATGCAGGGGCCCAAGCACTTGGTCTGTCCTCCACTGCTTTTCCAGACATATTAGTAGGGAGCTAGATCAGAAGTGAAGCAGCTGAGCTCTGCAGGCAGCAGCTTAACCTGCTATGCTATAAAGTCATAGAGTTTTTCTACCCTATTTCATGAAGGAAATAAGTAAGTTAGAATAATTCAGTAGACCCATTTGGTTCAGCTTGGTGCACTTTTTCATTATTATCTTTTTAATCATTCATGGAAGTAGAGGTGAAAACCCTTCTCCTCCTCCTTACTGCACTATTGACATTACAAACATTGATCTAAATTGCAATCATTAGGTTCTTATTGAAATGAAAGGTCTGCCCCAAGGTTTAAATTTCTAGATTACTGTGTAAGATGAGCCCTCAATTACAGGCTTCTACTAAGAAAAGCATAGATTTGGTGTTAAAACACGTTCCAGTCAGCTGAGGGGAATGTTACAACTCTATAGCACTTAACATACAGCCTGATTTGGAGTATCCTGGATCTATAGATCTGTTCTATGGAGGAGGGCTCCCTGAGAATAAGAACCTTGTCTCATTCATGCTGATATTTGGCATATTTTTGAGTCCATAAGAGGCTCTCAGTAAATGCTGGTTAAAAGTGAGGAGGAGGACATGTTGAAAGCAAAAGAGAGAGACAAAGCCATTCTGTTATTTTCCTTTGACAAGGATGATGATAATAATGATGGCCAGACACTGCACCAAGTACTTTACTTGGAATAGCCATTTAATTTTTATAATCCTGTGTGGTACACATTTTTTCCTTTAAGTATGTGAGGGCCCAGGGTCAGTGACTAAAATGTCCAAAGTTAACCGACTTAGAAATGAAATTTCCAAGATCTCAATTCCTGTCTCTCTGCATGTTTTTAACCACTGTGCTGGCCTTCCAAATGAGCCAATATTTCTTGTCTATTTTGTGCAAATAATTGGGCCAAGTAACGGAAAATATTTTATATGTTCTTATTTCAGTGCATTTGCAAAGCAACTCTGCTAAGGCTGGAATAGGGTAAATGAATGAGCTGAAGTTAAAGATAAATGTGTGTAGAGGATGTAGAGAATGTTTGGCTAACCCTGAAGGGTTAAAGAGAATTAAAAGTTTTCAGTGTAACAATTCAAGGCAGGAAAGTGTTAGCAGGTTATAAGGAATTTCCCTTCCTCTGAGCCATTGGGTTTTTGCCAAGGCTGCAGGGTAGATGATGCATTTGTGGAAGACGAATTTGATCCAATAAGACATCTTCTCAATCCTCGTATAAGATTAGTCTGAGGGGGAATCACTTGGTAACAATTTGAAATGGAGTTTGTTAGAAAAACATAGCTTTGTCTGGGCTGAGTCTAGAAATGGGTGACAGATGTTAATGATGAGCGACTGAACAGATGTTTGGGGGAGAATTACAAAAAGGGTTTCTATCACAGGATCTAAACCTTAACCTTCCTGGCTGATGCTGAAAGGAGAGCTTGTTTGTGAAACATGTTCTTGCAAAAACTATTTGGTGGATTGTGACAAAGATGAATGACCGGATACTATAATTTAAATCTGAAAATAGGGTAAATGGGGTCCCTGTTTGTGTGCGTGTGTATATGGGTTTTCTTTGACAAAGGTCAATGACTTATTAAAGAATGGGAAGGCTGAACAAGTCATTCCTCTCTGCATTCCTTATTTTTGCAACCACCACCCCTGACTGGAAGGAATGGGAAGTTTTTTGATTTCATACCTTAAGTCTTAACAAAATTATTAAAATTTCATCATTTATTTATATCTTGAAATGTCTACCCTATGATTGCCTTTGGAAAAGAGAAAGTATAAACTTAATTGGTAGTTTTAATCGAGGTCTCTGAGACTTATTTTTTTTTTTTGACAGGCAGAGTGGACAGTGAGAGAGACAGAGAGAAAGGTCTTCCTTTTCCGTTGGTTCACCCCCCAATGGCCACTATGGCTGGTGCGCTGTGGCCGGCACACCACGCTGATCTGAAGCCAGGAGCCAGGTGCTTTTCCTGGTCTCCCATGTAGGTGCAGGGCCCAAGGACTTGGGCCATCCTCCACTGCCTTCCTGGGCCACAGCAGAGAGCTGGACTGGAAGAGGGGCAATCGGGACAGAATCCAGCACCCCAACCTGGACTAGAACCCGGGGTGCCAGCGCCACAGGCGGAAGATTAGCCTATTGACCTGCGGCGCCGGCCGAGACTTATTGTTTTAAGAAGTCTAACACAATCCCTATTCCCAAGTGGAAATGAAGGCAGATTTTAAAAGCTATACTTCTATTGCCATAAACAAATCCCCACTGTACCCACTTTACAAAAAGATGAGCAGTTAGTTAGGTGTCTTGTACACAATAATTTGCATATTGGATGCTGTGAAGATCAACAAGATGCATGACAGACTTGGAGTCTACAGGAAAGATCATGCATAGTTGATGATGTGGAAGAAGGGCCCACATCAAGGGATATGCGAGTTTAGAGGATAAAGAGATTTCTAGGAGTGGTGATCAAACAAGGCTGCACGGAAGAGATGGGATTTGTACTGCCAGCTGTGGAGTTAAAGATTGCTAGTAAAGGTCAGTCCTTCCTTCCTTCAGTCAGACTTTTCCTCTTTGCTCCTAGTCAATCTCTCCTACTCTTCATTGCTAAACTTCTCAAAAAAGTAAACAGATGTTCTACTTCCATTTCTTTATTATTTCTTAATCCTTAAACCCATGATTCTTTGGTTAAGCCTTAAGTCCTTTGGTTAAGACTGCTAACTGTCCTTTAATCTCTGTGCTCCATGTGTTCTTTAGGGGGCAAACCTTCAATTTTTACCTGGATATATGGTCACATGGGCTAAGAGTGTATTTGCTAGTCTCTCTTGCAACAGGGTATGGACAGATGATAAGTTCTGATTAATGGAATATGATCACAAGTGATCATGTATCTTCTAGGCTGTATCCTTAAAGTGCAGGGGCATTCCTTTGCTCCTTTCACTCTTCCTATATATAGGAATGTGGTGTGGCCTTGTTGAGCCATCTTGGTCCATGGAGATAAATTACTCTAGGAATGAATGAGTAATAAGACAAAAAGGGTAGGTTGCTGCCATAGAAGTTCTAGAATATTACTCTCAATTATTATATGACAATAGGAAAGTGTCAGTAAAAATAGTGGAAGATTTTAAAGGGTACAACATAAAGATTCTTAACTGTCCTGAGTTTACCCAGTGAGCTTATCTCCACAATTCACTATCTTAACTATTTTACAACTCTGCGAGTTGTAGATAACTAATAGCAATGCAAACAGATTCTATCCAGTGGAAAGCAGACGAATTCCTTGTCTTCCATCTCCTCTGCTCCATGGAAAAAGACTGTTTCACATCTATGAGTATTTGTAAATTTATTTCAATTCTAGATTGACCTATATAGGTGCAATATTTTTAATTCTCCTTTGAACTGGTGATAACTCTTACTGTTTCCTTCATTAGTTAATAAGTTAAAATCTTTGACATGTAATTCATTTTATATTTTATGAGAATGAAGTTTATCGTTTATTAAAAATTATTCTTTAACAAGAAGGATCAAATTCTATCTTGTTTAAGCCACTGCTATTTTGGATCTTTGTTATAATAATCAAATTTTAATCCTAGCTAGACAGCACCTGCCATTCTACACTAGTGATTTCTTTGAGGGTCAGCATTTACTCTTAATTATCAACTCCAAGTTTTTTTCTTAGTCATCATCCAACCTTAGTGAGAGATGAAGAACAAGTAGAACAGTGTCTTCTCCAACTTTGGGTTACAACTCATCAGAGGGTCACAAAATCAATTGAATAGGTCACAGCTAGCATGAACAGAAAATACTGAAGTGCATTGCATATAGCAAGTACAATCTGTGACGTTTTGAATTTAGATACATATCTGTTTTAGCTTTCTAGGTTTGTTGTAACAAATTGCCACCAGATGGGTGGCTTAAGACATCAGAAATTTATTCCCTCATAGATATGGAGGCCAGAAGTATGAAATCAATGTGTGCTAGCTCTTAGAAACCTCAAGACGAAAATCCTTTCTAGATTCTTCTAGCTTTCGGTGACTCCTGGTATTCTTTGACTTGCATTAGCACAACTCCAATCTCTGCTTCCATCTTCACGTTGCCTCCCTCTGTGTCCTTTGCTGTTTCTGATAAGGATGCTGCCATTGCATTTAGGGCCCATTCTAACGTGGTGTAATTTCATCTTGACCACCTAAATTACATTTGCAAAGATACTATTTCCAAATAAGGCCACAGTTCAAGATTCAGAGTGGATGTGAAGTTGGGGGAACACTATTCATCCCTCTGTGTAAGATATATATATGATGGGCCTTCAAAAAGTCCATGAAAAATGTGTACTATGAAAAAAACTATGCATAGATTTTATTTTTTTGCACCAAAATAAGTTTGTCTTTTCCCATGAAGTTTTAAAAATACCCTCATAGTAGGAATCATAATTAGTATAAAATTTAATAATTAGTAAGACATTTATTCAAGTAATTTTACTTGCAATAAACAATTTTAATCTCATAATGCTTCAGGAGATGGGTTCTAATAATAGTGCAGTTTTAAAGATTATTAGGTAACCAGAAAATGAAAGAATTGGGATTCACTCCCAAATCCCTGTTTTTCTAGTACATCATGTTTCTTTGAAAATCTCAACTCCCCAGGCTTCCATATTACTGTATTGATCTGGGTATCTAATCTGGCTCCATTTTCTGCCTTCTCTCCTCTTCTTATCTCCTAATATTGTCACTCCATCAGCTCTTGGCTGTGTCTAGCTCCCACTTAATCTCATTTACGCTCTGCTGTCTAGTTACACAGAGCTGGTGAGGACTTAATCCTACTGTAGGCAGAAAGGAAAGAGCTAGTGGAGAGCAAAGATTGAAGAGAGATGAGAGGGAGCAGTGCCTGATGAAGTGAATCTACCCAGAGATGGCCAAGTGTCCAGGAGGATTTCTCCTTAGGAGAGGGGGCAGACACCACTTTCTTGAAAACACTCGTCATTTTGACAGGGCAAATAATGACAGTGGCAGAACCAGGGAGTTCCTCTTCCTTCAGTTGGCTTAGGTTCCCGGTTTCTGGCCATGAACCCTGATAAGAGAGGCCAGACCTTGCCCATGGATCAAGCATTGCTTTTTACAGATCAGGCCAGGCCTGGCACAGGAAAATAGGAAGGACTGAAACATGTTTGCTGCCTTAATTTAAGCAAGAAACACTAGAAAGCATAAAAAGAAAAGCAGAAACAAAAGCCCAGCACCCAGAAGCCTTCCCCTTTGTCACCTCATTAGCCGGGTGACGACTCCCAGAGACACGCAGAACAGGTCAGGAATCCAGGACAGCTGTGTCCCTCAGCCTGGAGGAGCTTTCAACAGTCGCAGGAGCCTGACCATTAGAAACCGTTATCTTCCCCAGATGCCTAATGGGGCCTCCTGTGGGAAATAAGGAAGTCACAATCTTCAACAGCTCATTTCTCCCAATCAGGACCTTTCAATAAGAACACATTGTGGAGGGGCCATAAAACCATCAGAATGTGGCTCTGGCTTCTTTCCAACTTATTAGGCTTGAGGTAATTATCCAGGTAATTCAGGAAAAATAAACTGCCATTGCCTGAATTACTCGGATCATTACCTCAACGTTCCAGGGCCGTCTGGTGGCGGAGGCCAGCTGGGTCTCATGGACTCAAACAGTTTGATAACTGAAAACAGGCATGGTAATTGGAGAGTCAGGGAGAAACCATGGAAGGATTTCAGCTCAAATGACTAGAAAATCTGGATGCTGGGACCAAGTCCTGCCAGATACTACTTGCTTACTCCTGTTAGCTGCCTTATCTCACTGAACCCAGGGGCATTTTGAGAATGGCAAGCTGTAAATGACTAGCCAGTGCCATAGAGGCAATTAGTAGTAATGCCATTTCTCCACTGGTGGTATCAACCACTGATGTAAATTTCTATTCTGATATAAAGCTGGATTAAAAAAATGCATACTTTATACTGAGCTGTGAGATTCCAGGGTAAATATCCATATTAGTCGCACATTAGGCTCATCTGAGGAGCTTTCAAAGAACAGAGAATTTCCCAGTTCCCACCCCAAAAGGAATGCATTTGAATCTCTGGAGTAGTGGTCCTAACATTGGTGTTGTTTAAATTGGTTGATTTTTAAATTTGTTTTAAATATAGTCCTTGTTATAATGGGTTCTTTCATTTTATAGCTTACTGTATTTGCTGTGACATTGTTTTATTTATTTATTTTAAACCTTGAGACACATGGAGGAGTAGTCAAAAATGGTACTTTTGACCGCTTCCTTCTTTTTTTTTAATATTTATTTCTTTTACTTGAAAATCAGAGATACACAGAGAAAGAAGAGGCAGAGAGAGAGGTCTTCCATCTGCTGGTTCACTCCCCAACTGGCCACAATGGCCGCAGCTGTGCCGATCGGAAACCAGGAGTCAGGAGCCTCTTCTGGGTCTCCCACGTGGGTGCAGGGGCCCAAGGGCCTGGGCAATCCTCTGCTGCTTTCCCAGGCCATAGCAGAGAGCTAGATGGGAAATGGAGCAGCCGGCACTCGAACCGGCACCCATTTGGGATGCTAGCACCGCAGGTGGCGGCTTTACCTGCTATGCCACAGCACTGCCCCTTATTTTTATTTTAAGAATTTATTTGAAAGGCAAAGAGACAGAAACAGAGATTTCCCATTGGTTGGTTTACTCATCAAACATCTGCAACAGCTGGGGATGTAACAGGTTGAAGCTAGGAGCCTGGAACTCAATTCAGGTCTCCCACATGGGTGGCAGTGACCCAACTACATAAATCATCCATAATGGGCTGCCTGCCAGGGTGCACATCAATTGAAAGATGGAACTGGAATCAGACCCACTCAAAGCCAGACATTCCAGTCTAGATATGGCTTCCCAAGCAACATCTTAATCATGGCAACAAACAACCATTGGACACTGGCATTTTTAAATCCCTTTTTAAAAAGATTTCTATATTTATTTGGAAGAGTGACACAAAGAGGGAGACACACACACACACACACACACACACAGAGAGAGAGAGAGAGAGAGAGAAACTCCAAATACTGGTTCATTTCCCAAATGGCTGGAATGGCTGGGGCTGGGCTGAGCTGAAGCCAGAAGCCAGCAGCTCCATTCAGATCTCTCACATGGGTACAGAAGCCTAACCACTTGGGCCATCCTCCACTGCTTTCCCAAGCACTTTAACAGGGAGCTGGTTTGGAAGTGGAGCAGCTGGGACCTGGATAGGTACCCATATGGGATGCTGGCATTGCAGGTGGTGGCTTTACCCACTGCACCATGACATTGGCCTAACACTGACAATTTTAAGGAACTCTCCAGATGATTCTAATGGGCAGAAGCATTGCATGTCAGAGAGACACACAGCAGGGAGGGAGATTTCTGTCTCCAGTCACACCCAGAGTGTTATGGATGTGATAGATACGTATTAGAGAGACAGGTGAGGCTACATGGCTGTTCAGCCAGTTCCTCCACAGTTCTAGGTAGGAGGAGCCTGCTGACATTTGAATGGCTGTGTCTCTCCCAAGTTCATGTTGCAACTTAATCCTTAGTGTAACAGTATGTACAGGTGGGGCCTTTGGAAGGTGGCTAGGTCATGAGGCTTCTGCCTCAGGGGTGGGATTGAATTCTTATGAAAGGGATTGAGGGAGTGAGTGCAGCCCGCAGTTGGCCCCTTCTATCCCTTCTATGGGATGCTAGCGGGCATAGTGTTTGTCTCCTCTGGATCAGGCAGAGACCAGGACCTCCCAGACACCAAACCTTGATCTTAGACTTTTAGCCCCCAGAGCCATGAGCAATAAATTTAGTTCTTCATGAACTACCCAGTCTCAGGCATTTTGTTAGAGAAGCAGGAACAAACTAGGGCAGGGCCCGGGTTGCTCCTATCTCTGGGTCTCGTGGATCCCTTATTTGAAGGGATTATACTTGCACGAAACAGCCCTCGGTTCCAGCAATGCCCACTCTCCACACCAAGTTTGAGTTATCAAAGATCTTGTCAAAGGCCACTTACCACTGACAGAGATGGGCAGCAAATATCATTTCCACTTCCTTTTGGTTCCTTAAAGCTTACCCTCCCAAGGATTAGGGCCAGCACATCCCCACTATGAGTTACCTGGTCTTTCCAAGGTGCATTGGTGCATCACATCAACATTCATTAAAAATAATGAGATGGTAACTGCAAAAAGACATGACTTCATCCTGGCAGCAAATGTTTCCCAAGTGCTAACCTGCCATCTGTTAGGCAGCACGAGAAACTAGAAAACCATTCCTAAAGCAGTTCAGTTGGCTCCTCCAGCTTTGAAGCATCTGGTTGGTAACTGTGCTGTCAGCATGGAGCTACCTTCTCAGTTTCAAACACCCTAGTGTTGGAGTCTGAGGATAGAATTCCTGTGGTCTAGACAAGCGCCTGCTACTAGGACTTACAGATGGGCCTCTCCTTTTAGTCTTAGGGGTCATGGTTCAGAAATGATTGAACAATCTCTCAACAATCTCTCAGAATACAGCAGAACATCTGTTTCCTACATGTTACTCCCCCAAACACAGGCTGCCTTCCGTGTGCACATGTTGCTCCTGCTGGGTTTTTATGACATGTGAACTCAAAGGACCATTTCTTCTGCCCAGTGACAAGCCTTTTAAAGGGTGAAGTGCTTGGATTTACAGTGATTCTCCCAGAGGATTTTACCCTAGCTGTTGAAATACAGAAAACACCAAGTGCCCATTATCTACTGTAAGACAATGCAACGATTATTCTTTCTGGAGGACTCCACACTGGAGAAAAGCAAGCAGTAGTATGCATTCTTTCTTCCCTCTGGAAAGTAGCCTACTCTTTAAAAGTCCCGATTAAGTACAGAGAGCCCTGTTACCCTTCAAAGCCCTGTTCGAATGTCACCTCCTCCGTGGAGCCTTCCAGGGACTTCCTGGGAAGAAATAACTGTGCCTTCTGGTTTCCACTAACTTGGTGCTCAAGCATCACTGGCAAATGTGTGGTTGCTCAGCGTGTGAGCCTACATCCCTCATCCCAGCTGACTCCCAGTACGCTGGACCATGAGCCCCCAGAAGACAGGAATTGCATAAGTGCACAGTAAATATTACATATGGAACTGAGTGTGACTCCTAAGACAGTTACATTTCTTTTATAGTGAAATTATATAGGGAAATTTGACTTTATTTTATTTTTATTTGACAGGTAGAGTTATAGACAGTGAGAGAGAGAGAGAGAGAGAGAGAGAGAGAGAAAGGTCTTCCTTCCGTTGGTTCACTCCCCAAATGGCCGCCACGGCCGGTGCTGCGCCAATCCGAAGCCAGGAGCCAGGTGCTTCCTCCTGGTCTCCCATGCGGGTGCAGGGGCCCAAGCACTTGGGCCATCCTCCACTGCCTTCCCGGGCCACAGCAGAGAGCTGGACTGGAAGAGGAGCAACCAGGACTAGAACCAGGCGCCCATATGGGACGCTGGTGCTGCAGGCGGAGGATTAACCAAGTGATCCACGCCGCCGGCCCCGACTTTATTTTATTTTTTTTTTTTTAAGGAAAAAGAAATATAAACTGTGGGGAGCAACTCGGACTAGACTAAGTTACTGGAATTAAGACTTATTTTATGCATCTACTCTCCCACAATATGGCGCTGGGAGAGGAGGAAACAGCTTCTACACAGCTGCCTCCAGTTCAACCAATAAACAGCAAGACCTGCTCCTGATTGGAGGAGAGCAGCGTACTCGGCATGTGGGTAGCAGAGTTGGGATTGGTGGAAGAGGACTATAAAGGAGGAGAAAGACAACATGCACCAGGAACATCTAAGGGGAACATCTATCTGAAGGAATACCTGTGCAGCCCCCGAGAGAGCCGGCCGGCGGTGTGCCGCTCCCCCGCGGAAGTGGGGAAAGTGGCAGGGGGAACCGCCCTTCCACGGAGGTGGAAGGGATGGTAGCCAACCCGGGAAGAACCAGCAGCAAACCCGGGGAGGGCTGAGCAGACAAAAGAACAGCGCAGGGTCCTGTGTCGTTCCTCCGCGAAGAGGGGGAGCGACATAATGGTGCCGTGACTCGGATAGGAAGCCTAGGCAGGGTTTAGTGTCGTTCCTCCATGAAGAGGGGGAGCGACAATAAACTATGATGATTATTTGGTTTTGGGATAAGTGAGGTCCACCAAACACACAAAAAGGGAAGTGGCTAGGAATAAAACAATCAGCTTTCCCCTATCCACAGACTTAAAGAGTAGGACTGGCCTCTCTGCTGTGGCCACAGTGGGCCTAGTACAGGGCTGGGCATATGGAAGGTACTTAGTAACTCACAGGTTTTAAGTTTCTCCTTTGTTAGGGCCTGTGTTATGGTGTAACAGGTTAAGTTAACACTTGGGACACTCACATCCTGTATCAGAGTGCCTGGTTCAAGTTCTAGCTACTCTGTGCTTCAGACCCAGCTTCCTGCTAATATTCTGGGTAGGCAGCAGAGGATGGTTCAAGTCCTTGAGTTCTTGCTACCCTCTTGGGAGTCCTGGATGAGGTCCGAGGTCCCTCCTGGCTTTAGTCTGGCTCAGCCCTGGTTGTTAGATGGCATTTATTTGGAGA